CTGCAGTACGGTGACCTTTCACTTTGCTGCATTTTTTGCAGTGTCGCGCTACCGTCACGACAGTTTCCACTCGCAGTACCATTCTGCGGTGACCTTTAATTCGCTTGCACGTTCCCACTCGCAGTGACGTTCTGCGGTGACCTTTTATCCACTTGCGCTGGTTTCCCGATAACCAGTTCCTTTTGCTGCTGAGACGGCATCCTTATAGCCGTTCCACTTTCTTTTTGCGATGGCGGCATCCATATAGCCGTTCCCTTTGACTGCGGCATCCATATAACCGATCCACTTTCTTTTTGCTGTGACGGCATCCGTATAGCCGTCTCCTTTGGTTGCGGCATCCATATAGCCGGTCCCCTTTCCTTTTTCGCGGACGGCATTCTTATAGCTGTTGCAGTGGTCACGTTCACTGCAGTACCATTCTGCAGTGGTGACCTTTCCGTTCCCCCGTTTATCCGGTGGTTTAGGGTCGGGGCGATCAGCAGGCTCACCGGCGCCTACTGATCTTGCCCGTTTCCCTGAACCGGCGCACCACCTTGTTGCGCGCCTTGTGCATTTCCGTGTTGTTGTCCACCGTCGTTTGCCAGGTTCTGTCCGCAGCTATCATTCTGGGCGCCACCACCCTGTTGATAGTAGTTGCCTTGGCCGCCTCCATTGCCGCCACCTCGGTTATCGTAGTTTCCGCGGCCGAAGCCTCTGCCCCTTCCTCTGAAGCCACCACGGCCGTAACCACCTCGACCGCCGCCACCATTTCCGTTTCCATAACCTCCGTTTCCTTGTTGATTCTGGAAGTTCGCTTTCACTTGGTACCACTGGGCGATGAGGTCATATCCATTTGCCAGCGCTAGGCGCCAGCCACCCAGGCCGCGCAGTCGTTGCCATTCTCTGAAGGCAAACAAATTCGGGTTCTGGTCCGGGGGTGTGTTGGTGAATTTACATCCTTGCGTCTGGTGATTCCCATACATGCAGTTCTGGCACATCTGCACACCATTTGCAACCCATCCATCAATCAACTGGAACATAAATTCCGTTCGTAATCCTTGCTGATTCTGGAAGTTCTGGGTTCCTCTGTTCGCTGAAAGTTGCCTTGACCTTGACCTAGGTTCGGTAGGAAGTACCCTTGTCCTCCGTTCCAATTACCATTTCCATATCCATTCCCACTAAAGTTTCCTTGTTGCAGCGCCCCTACGTTCGGGGGAGGCATATTCTAAAGTGTAGAACGCCGACCGACGTTAAAGACTTTTTCCGACATTGGGCAACAGGAGTGGACAAATATAAGGCACCGAAAGGTCAACGTAACCAGAAATACGTGACCATCCGTCAAAGTCAGGTCGAACCGATGCCACAGCAACGAGATGAAGCCGCACCAGTTCAGCAGCAAATGGAATATCGCGCGGAAACCACAGTTAGAGAGGTCACCGAAAGAATGACCTTTATTGACGGTCAGACGGGACAGCCGATAACGTATGCGATGGTGGCTGCAGTACAGACAGCGCCTCAAGTGAGCCTAGTAGCCCAGAATGTGGCTCCCTAGAATGTGGCCCCACTGAATGCCTTGTAAAGGTCATTGTCTACTCTGCATCCTTCAATTAGGAAACCGACTGCTTGTTTTCAATGATGATTCTTTTTGATTTAAATCGCATCATCGCCTGATAGTATTGGTCAAGCGATTCCTTTCCGAGTTCGAATTTCCTTGCATAAGCTTCGCGAAAGCCTAAGACTTCTTCATCTCGGTCACCATATTCCTCCTTGAATTTATCCATCCATTCTGTTACCGAGTATTCGATTCCGCCCTCTGATGCGATGTCCATTTGTATTTCAAACCAGGTTTTAGCGGGACCCTTCACCGCGCTGGCTATCTCGATCATGATTTGATCGTCAGTGAGCTGGTAGGTTTTCTGCGTTTCCTTTACTAATCTGGTCCAACCATTCACGGTGTCACGACTTCCATCCAAAGGTCATAAGGGTCGTTTTCCGAGCCATGGAATTGAATGCCTTTGTCAGTTCCCTTGCTGGCTTCTGCTTGTCCTCTTCCTCGCTACTATTATCGTCACTATCCTTATTACGCCGCGCCTTTGCGTTGCGGGGTCGCCTCTCACGTTGTCGGCTCGATTGTTCATCGCGTCGCTCCTTTTTTATGAAGACGTTTGTTTCGATATGCGGAGGAATCTGAGAGGGGTCACCCCGACTCAAATGCGGATAACTATCTGATAACTGGTCTTTATCATCCTTGACCTTTTCGCCTTCTCGTTCCTTCTTAACACTTCCCACGCCAGTGCCGGTTCGTAACGGCATCTCGAAGTGGAAGCCTTTGCCCGTTTCATGCGCCTTGCTGTAACTGGGCGGAGGAGACTCCACTGTTGCCGTTTTAACTCCGTATTGTAGTTGTTCCTCTTTGTGCTTATTAGACGTCTGGAGCGCCTTGTTCTCATCCTCAAGTCGTCTAATTCTCAACTGGAGTTCTTCTCTTTCCCTCTTCAAGCCGGAATTTTTAAGGTTGACCTTTCGTAGGTGCTCATGCAGTTTAAACGTCTCCTGCTGCGTGACCTTTTCGTTTCCCTGTTCCATTTTCTTGATGTGCTCGGTCAATTGGGTCACATCTCCTTCGAGTTTCTGATACTCTCCCGCGGCTGATCTCAACTGGTTTGTGATTGCAATCAGTTCGTCATCTTTCGCCATTGCTGTGGTGGTCATATCGACGAGTTCGGTATTAAGCCTCGCGTTTTCTTGGTTCTTCTGGGCAACTTGTTGTTGCCATTCCTTATCCTTTAGCTCTAATGAAGTAACCATTGTGTCCAACCGGAGTGCTTGAGTTAGCCACTTAAGACTTTCCTTGGTGACCTTTTGAATATCTGCCGTGACCTTTTCATTTTCGTCGTTGACCTTTTTAATCTCTTCCTTCAATCTTTCTCCCTCTGTTGCTGTGAGGTCTCCCGCAGCGCGCATCCCTTTGATTGCCTCGTTGCGTAGCTTCTCAGCTTCGTCGGCGCGTTCCTGATGATCTTTTGACTCACTTAGCAGAGTGCTGATAGCTTCATCTCGTAGCTTCAGGTCGTTCCGGATTTTGAATGTCTGTTGCTAATGTCGTCAGTCGCTTCGTGAGCTCTGCGAAGTTGGCGGCGTATTCGTCCCGTTTAGTTTCTGCTTCGGTGACCATTTGGCGCCATTGGTCACATTCGTTCCTTCAATTCGGCCAAGTGCCGTGACCTTTCCACTGACTCTTCAGACATACTCTCGTTAAGATCGCTGACTGCAAGATGACCTTCCATAGTTCTATCATCTGCCATTTTCAGATATTCTTCTGCAAGTTCCTTTTGTCTTTCATATTTCACTTTCCATTCGTCTGCTGCGCTCTGGTGGTCACCTTGTTGCTGCTCCAGTTCATACAAGCTAATCTCGAGTGTTGTCAGTCTGTCTCGATATTCTTGTTTCCGCTTGATTGCCTGTCGTCCTTTGTCTTCGAGTTCGTTTTCCAATTCCGTGACGCGTCTCCTTAGAGTTGACGTGGGACTGTTCGGTGAAGGTGATCGCACGTTGATGGCCTTTCCCGTTTGAGTTCGTTCGATCAATGACTCGGGGATATCCTTAAACGGGGTCACCTCTTCTGCTCGGTCTGCTTCTTTCATTGCGGTCTGGAAAGACGTATTCATCGTCGTTTCGTCGTCCGTGTAATATGATTCATTTGATTCATCCGACACCATTGGAGTTGCCCAAAGGTCATCGCCTATTGTTTTATCATTGAGTGAAAGGTCATACTGTCCAAGTTCCTTCAGTTCGTCCTCGGTGACCTTTGTGTTTCCACCTTCCGTTTGAGCCAGGGTCACCTTCTTATCCTGCTCATCCGTTTCAGCAGCGGCCATATCCAGCTGTGATGTGCCGACTGCTTCCGTTCTTTTTCGGTGACCTTTGATTGGTGCACCGCATTACCTCCCGCCGCAGACGCGGGGGTTTGTTTCTGGTCGTCACTAGAGCTTTCCTGGTTTGCGACCGCCTCGAGCGCCTTCTGATAGGTGCTATCAGAGCCCCGCGAGTCATTCCTTGTGGATGCCTTGGGCGCTCGGGTGATTCTGTCGTGTTCCACTGCCCGTGTGTACGGGTGTCGGTCAATCTTGTAAGGGTTCGGTGCGCCTTGCTGTGAACCAAGGGAGAAACGGCTTCCCTGACTGCCATTCGATGTTGTTTCCATGCTTCCCTTTTCTTTGTCCATATTTGATCGGATAACTTGGACGCTCCTGTCAATGTTTCTCGAACACGTGTTATAGTACGGTACGTTCAAATGCCCTAAAGGTCACTTTCACTTTGCGAAATTTTTCTAAGTTATTTGCAAAGGTCACTTTTCGGTTGAAAAAATTCAGCCGAGTCCCGTTTTAAAGGTCACTTTTTTGATAAAAGAGATTTGCCCTAAAGGTTACTATTCAGACAGAACTTTGAAACCCGTTTTACGATTTAGAACACGTTTGAAAACGAAATTCTACAGTAGCTGATATCGCTGTACCACTATTCAAGGCAATTTCAACTTCGTTAAAGGTCACCGTTCGTCACTTTCAGATCGTAAAGCTCACCTAAAAGGTCAAATAGGTCATTTGGAATTTTTTAGTAAAGGTCACTTTCGAATGTCAAAGGTCACTTTCTGATGTCAAAGGTCACTATCCTACTCAGCTCAACTCAAAAGGTCACTTTCCAGTTCAAATAACTCGTTCAATTCAAATAGTTCAATTCCCGTTAAAATCGATGGAAAATCCCCAGTTAAGTTGTTTACTACAATCCTATTGGTCCGCTAGCTCAAATTATTCAGTTCAAGTTTCAACCAATCACAGCTCAGATAACCGCCTAATCACGTTTCTCCGTTTAAAATTCTAATCTGCCTGACGTCACGGTCAACGACCAGACATGCGCACCGTGTGCAAAATTCCGCCTACTTTTATGCTCAGCTCTTGACGGACCAACGAAAATTGCCAATTTTATCATATAACCAATCCGATAATTAATAGTGGTTTTTCTACCTGTTAACCGTCCGTTCCACGAGAAAACGCTCCAAATGATCAAGATTCTTCTCCACACTCAGCTCCCGCGTTGCCGCTTTTCCGTAGCGGTTGTGGCGCCTTCCTAATAGGTGCTGTGCCGGCTGACTGCCGTAGCAACAGCGAGGTGCTTTACAACCAGTTTGGTGGAGTCTGATTTAACCGATGATCCGTGCGCCTCTTTTAGCGTTTCGCCGCCTTTGTGGGATTCTCGCCGAGTAGCAGGAGCTACAGCGCAAGTTCTCCGTCTGGAGATACTTGCACCGACACTGCCCGCCGTCTGAGACTCTTGCACTCTTTCACAGCACTGGTTACACCACAGGTCCCCTCGGGAGACGCTGCACCGATGCCAAAGCTGGTAATCCGTCGATGAGGAAGGTGCACCGCTTGTGGTGTTGCGCGTTGCTATTCCGCACACACCAGTGCCTTACTGGTAAACAGGCCAGATTTGCCTGACAGTCAAATCAAATATAAAACAATTCAAATCAAATCAATTGAGAACCGTTACGATCTGCTACCGTCTGATGATAGATCAAAGTTATCTACGTACGGCAACCAGAACAGAACTGATTCCGCGTAGCGAGCAATGCTACATGTATTGCGAGCAGCGAAATAACACGCGATGCCGCGTAGCTAATTGCTAACTTTTAATGAGCGAATTCTGGCTCGCCAAAACAACACTAAACAGTACAGCGCGATCGTCAAACGGAGAGCCAAATCCGTGCCACTCCGCACGTGCGCTAGCCTCGCCCACAAGGCGCAATACAATGGACGGCCATAGCAGCCGTCAGCCAATCAGACCAGACCGAAACACAACACAGACACGTCATCAGCGGCGTAGCGTCGCGAGCGTGAACGCAAGTGATCCCTCGCTCACACCAAGAAGCCTGCGCAAATTTAAACTAATTAAAATGATTGAATTTTAAACATTGAAAAAACAGCCAAAATCGTTAGTATCATTACGAGCGCGCAGTGTGCTAAAAACGGCCGCTGCATTTCCTCTGACTACTGCCAGGCTTCAATCATTTTAATTAGTTTAAATTTGCGCAGGCTTCTTGGCACAATAACAACTTGTAAGTGCTTTGAAAACAAATAATTACGGTGTGCAACGATCACTATTGCCGAATGACGTACGAGATAATTGTTAAGTCAAAGATAATTTACACCATCCATAGATCGTAGGCATAAGCAGAATGGATATTTACTGTAGACAAAATAAATTAATATCTTCAATAATTTGCTATGTTTTGCGATGATGTCTGTGCATAAATCCACATCTGGCAGAAACGCTCAAGGAAGGTGTAAGAGGAGGTGCGCTTTCTCTCTGTTTAGTGCTGGTACAATAGGCTTAGGCGGCTCTATGGTGTACACGATGCAGACCCCCCGTGATGTTGCCGGCTCGCGCTCAATAACAGTATCAAATTTCACATTTGCGCCGGTTCGGCTGATATAGTATTATTGGAGTTCCCATAGGCAAAGCATAGGGTCTGGTCGGCAGGATTGTATGTGCACTTCAAAAGTTTTATGGGAGGAAAACCACTTTCCTGCCGAGCTCGCCAGCAGTCAACAGGCCAATATATCTGCCGGCTACACTCGCTAATTTCGTCTTCCATGTCCGGCCAGTAGTACTTTTTCACATTATAAAGGTACGGGAACGTTCACATGTACACGTCATTTTGCGTAGCAGGCGCTCGTGAACTGACTTGATCAACCTTTCACGCCACTGATAAGGAATGAAGATGCGTCCTTCTCCTTCATCAGGCGGTTTATGATAAACGTAAAGTTCATCGGTAGTCATGCAGTTAATTTCCGCACGCACAAAATCTGTACTCGCACTGGCATGTTTCGGATTTCGTACTACACAATCTGAACCACTTCTGCGCGTCAGAACACTCACACTGCTCATTTTTCCAGAAATATGGATTGTCAATTTGTTCATCGGTTAAAGAAACATTAAGATCTTCTTCAGTCATACGTGGCCTTGTCCAACCGGGCTTACCAACATTTTTCGCCGCTTCTTTTTTACGCGCAATTTCAGCTAAAATCTTCTGGTACTCTCCTTCACTGATACCCGAGCTACTTTCGCTTTCACCGTCATCTAAGATACTTATGGGACACAAATATAAGTATGCAAACCCAAAAAAGCACTTTTTTTTACGTCACACCGACCTCCCCTTTACGGCAGTTGGTCCATACTGCGTGACGCAGATATGCAGAACTTGCATATCCCGCCCAGAATAAGCAAAATTAACAAAACTACTCCGGAGTAGTTTTTTTTGAAATGGCAGTCTAAATAAGTGGCCAATTTATAACGTAACAAACTTTGTTGCGAACGTTTTTATCGTTTTTCAGCAGGTTCTCTCTCTTGTTTCCGTCACCTTAGTACTGTTTTACTTTCCACTTGTAATTATAAACACGCAGTAGGCTAGTAGCCTGTAGTGTTTTTGGACCGATCATGTCTTGCTCTTCATCTCCGAATCCACCTTCGCCAGCAGCATTTGGAGCCTCTACCTAAGAAACAGAAAACTGTGAACAGGGCTGGCGGACCCGTTTCCTCTGCCCTCGTATCTCGTTCATCAACGGCGCCTGTTTCATCGGTGATTACAGTTCCGAGTTCCGACATCAAGAAAATACAGGCAATGGTCGAAGAATGAGGAGCAAGTTTTGGTCGAATGGCTGGCAGAAGCATCTAACTTCGGCAGATGGAAATCATCTGGTAAACAACAACATGAAGCAGGGATTGGTTTTAAAAGCAACGGAGAGAAGCGCACAGCCGTGGCCCGTATAATTGCTCAGCACATCGCCGTTCAGTGCAAGACCCAGGCACTGGATCCCAAGGCCATCACGCAGAACGTAGCCAAATGGGAAGACCAGTATAAAAAGGTGAACGCCTGGCTGAAGGGAGCAGGTGAAGGAATCCTCGATCCAACTCTAGACAGCGGGAAATCTCAAGTTGCCCACAGTGCACGGTACAGGAAACTAAACACGTATTTTAATTTTTATAAAAGAATATGATATCATAATTACTCATGTATCTTTTCATATGTCAGCCGTGATCGTTTTTACGATTTCATTTTTGCGAGTTCTTATATTCGATAAGACTTATATTATTTTCACGTAAATCGATTATTGCAGAGGAGGTGGTCAAGCCGTTTAAATATTTTTTTGAACTGGATGCGACGTTCAGGGACAGACCAGGATCGAACCACCGAGTGTCAGTGAAACTGGCCAGGATGATGATGATCCGGAAGTGATCTTGTGCTTGACTAATGCACCATGTGAAGCTCAGATTCGGATACTGATACAGCAGCGAAATACGTGGCAGTGTTAAATCGAAAGCCAACTAAACCGACGAAGGAGAAAATTCAAGCACCGGCAAAACCTGACTGACGTTTTCACAGACGCTTATTACACTGGAGAAAAGCCGCGCAGAATGTCATGCAAAAGACCTGGAACTGCAACGCGAGCGTACGGCCAGCAAAAATGAATTAGAAAAAGAGCGCTTTAATCTCCAAAGAGCACAGTTAGCTGCGGATGCTAAAGACAAAGAAATTCGCAAGGCGGAAGCCGAAACTCACCGGCTCAAAGCAGAAAATAGGCGCACGGAATTACGTATAAAAATGAGAGAACTTGGTTTAGATATAAACTGATGAATAATTAATTAGCCATTTCTAGAATCTGTTCCAGTTCATTATTTTTCTCCAGCATTTTTAATAAAATATGTAAAATGCGCGAACTATTACTTGCAGTGTGTAATACAAAAAGAGTATCATATGACAACAAGCTGCCGTCAAATAACAGATATTTTAATTTTAAAAAAATTAGTGAATGAAGCAGTGGACGATGAATTTGTATTAATTTTAATAATGCAACCCGAGACTTATAACAAGTAGAAAAACAGTAGGTCACTCAAGTAAGCTGGTCAAAACAGCGCACTTAATCCCCTCTTTTTTTAGTGGTCCTGTTTCGTCGGCATCGATGGGATCAGCAGCATCTTTTTTGGCATTCGTGGCGTGGTCTGGCAATTCACCCCATTCGTCTTCATACGGGTCTTTAACGCGAGGTTCCCAGTGGAAATTCATTTTAGGGTTTATAGCTCATTGTAAAGAGAAAAGTCTCTTCTATCACAATATGACGCTATCATGTATGTACAAAATTTGTTTACGTTAAAAAACGATATTCCGTTATGAGTGCCGAAGGGGGAAGCGTTGTCCAACAGAGAAGAAGCGGCTAGCGCTGCTTTTAGAGTTTAGACAATCAAGGTTATGAATGCGGTCTTTTATGGTCAAGAGCGATGGATGGGATTCTAATGCAAAGCTATTGTTAGCGCAGGTGAAGTAATCAACCGTTTCAAAGGAATGCTGAGCCGAAGCAATTAGTGACAGCAAAGTCTACTACCAGCTATATATGTAATTACACTATGGTGACAGGATGGTGTGATAACTTAGTTGACCGACCGGCTATTGTCTTTGCTTGCGACGTGCGCGTCTGCAGTCTCCGGCCCTTCTGTCCTTTCATTTGCTTTACTCAGCGTTCCAGCTGTAGATTTTCTGTACTGAACATAGCGCAACAAAACACGGTAGACTTTAAACGCGTTTCGTGAGAAATCAAAAGTAATTTCATAACAAATCAACGCGTTATCAAAAAATTACTCAAAAATGGTCCTTAAATCGAGCATTACATGTTGAACTTGTTACACATACCGTTTTTTGATATAATGTAAGCTTTGATAGTTATAGCAGAAAATGTTCAGGGGCGGCACCGCCCCACCCCCCCTGGATCGTTTTTTTGCACTTTAAATTTTTAATAGCAATGATATTGAAATTTCCAATGTGTGATAAGCTTTCACACTGTTTCCGCACCGAATAGCGATTCCAAAACTTTTTTTGGACGAACAGTACTCAGTAAATTTCACCCTGAAATTTTTGACTTTAAAACGTCATAATTAGTTTACTGTGAGCAAAATAAACTTTTTGCTAACGCTATAATGTAGTAATATCATTTTCCTGGTATATCGTCAAGTGCGTTTGATGTAAAGTCGTGCTATGACCGTGTTATATGAGTTACCGCAAAGGGACCAAACCACTGGGAACCTCGCGTTAAATTCGATACAAATATTATATAAAATAGCGCAAATTCGAAACCAGTACACTGTACGTGTATGGTCTTTCTTAGATTTAATCAATACACGCAGTCCTTTTAACGCTTGAAAGCGATTTTTTGTAATACCAATAGTATTCTCGATGCCGACTGTTGCGCCCGAATGTAATTTACTGAAGTGACGATTATCTCGGTTGCTAGTTTTTTCGCTTTTCCGGTACGGCGTGATCACGGTGGTTGTGCAGGTATACGCGCTGTCTCCAAGAAGGTATTCATCGTTTTCAAAATATTTCTCTGGATTACGATACAGATCCGTACTTTTATAAACGCGGCTATCATGAGCGGAGCCCGTAAATCCACAGCAGGTATAAAGAATTCGCCAGTCGTAATCGCAAACAACCATGACAGGCAGCGAACAAACTTTCTTCCGGCTAAAATAATCTTCCCCGTGAACAGCTGGTTTGTATGCTAGCACGATATCCGTCCCATCCACATAGCCCAAGCAACTTGGGAAATGATGTTTCGCTTTAATACGCTGCTTCGTTACCCGCTTCTCGTCATTTGTTGGCCACCGTACGATATCCTTCTCCAGCGAGAGCAGCGCTACAATCACTCGACCAGTGAACAGTTCAACGGTGCCTTCTGATACCCCAAACTTTCGGGCCACACAACCAAGAGAAACAGCGTTACCAGTTGATCCCAGACGGCACAATGCTGTCGCTAGCGTTTTTTAACTGAAGTCTGGCTATAGCGTGAATTGTTAGCGAAAATCCGATGGGTGCTTATCCGGTCGAACAGCGTCAAACGTGGCACGTGTTACTCGCATCTCCTGCTTAAATCGGGAGTCGTCCAGATAAAATAGCAGGTTATCAAAAAAGCTGTGGAATTTTGGCACACGCAGCCGGTAGGTGTACTTTATGTAATCAAGATAAAATTGTAACATAACAGAAGTCAGATCGTCCAGGTAGCTCATAAAATTGCACCCCGCTTCTTGGTCGTCGTCTTCCCCAGAACTATTCTCGGTATCGTCGGTGGCACGAAGCCGATGATCAAGAATTAGACGTAAGCAGTCATGCATCACCGTCCGCTCCGTCAACCTTATGGCCAATTCACGGTGGTTAACTCGAGGCATAATGATACAGTTCGATTTAATGTAGTTTAATGTTTTGAAAATAAAAACAGCCCATCGTTAGCGTTTATTTGCATGGTTTTTTTATTAGTACTGTGACCGTTCTTGAAGGCAGCTACGTTCAGTGCCTTCAAGATTTCAGATATGCAGTTTTCAAAACGGTACACAAAGCTGGAAAGCGCGCGTAAATTACGCAGCGGAAATAGGCAACGGTTTACTGGTTGGTTCCGCTTCGCCTGTGACGTGAACAAAAGTGCTTTTTTGGGTTTGCATTTTTATATTTGTGTCCCATAACTGTCGCTCTCACAAATACTGCTATCTTCACTGGCTCCCTCGATACACTGTACTTCAGCACTTACGGTACCTTCCAAATTATCGTAGTGGACTGGCTCACCCCTGCAAACTTGAAACCTTTCAAGGCGTTCACGCATATCGACAGACTCTGGATCCACTGCACTACGATCTATGGACGTGGAATTCGTAACTGCTCTCTGCTGGGCGGCTGTTTGAGATACACCCCCGCAAACTTGACATTCTACCGTATCCGAAATATCATCTTCCACCGAAAACTCGTTTCGCTGCCGTAAACTTGCAACATACCGTATGTCATTTAAAAATTGTTCTTCAATACTTTCCAATCTTTTCAATTTTTCACAAATTTCAATTAATAACTGATCTAGCGAATTAGGATTAACGGATATGTTATTTGTAACATACTGCGACTGTACTGGTGATACATCATTATTTAAACCCCCGCAAACTTGAGAACTACCCAAATCCACATTCTTACTTACGGTTTCTATTTGCACTGCATTGCGCATCATCGTCGCCGGTTGGGAATTCCCCCGCAAACTTGACTGTGAACCGGGTTCCATTTCTGAATGACTTACCGTATGAGTAAATACTTCTACCGGCCTGACATTCTTTGGCTGTACTTTGCTCTGCTTAGCTGGCCATTGTTTTACCGCAGAACGAAGCTGCAATAGCGAAAAATTCAGGCGCGTCCTGTGCCAAAGCACTGTGTACCATTTTGTACGGCACCAGTTCCGCTTCTTTACAAATTCCAATACGTTCAGTTCGCATCAGCGCTGGCAAGGAAGGACTAATTCTCGCACGTGGATAAAGGAAAGGATCAAACTTGTGAGCGCGAATAATATCAGACATTTATGAGCTGTACGATGAATATGTTTGTTCTTACCGTAGGATCTCTGCGCGAAGGACGCAACGACATCTTGTTAAAATCGAAAATTAAAGATTTAGCTGTCAAAAAGTCCATACCGAGAACAATATGGTCTCGATCAAGAGCGGGACTGAACAAACACGCGTGTTCATAACCATTACCGAATATTGAAATACTAAGTAGTGCACAAGTGGCTCTACCCTCTGTGAACCGTACGCGCCTTCCACTAACAAATCTTTCATATGATCTGGGCATTGGAGAATATACAGATCCATTTCTTTCGCCAGTTTGAAAGGAATAATAGAAAAGGTGGAACCCGTGTCTATCATTACTATAACTTTTTTGCCGAAAAATGTTAACGTCAAATACAGTGCTTGGGCATCCAGAGTAGGCCACAGACAAACCTCATTCGCTACCGGATATCGACTGACGTCAACTACAGTACTCGTACTCAGAGCATAATGTTCAATGTACGGCTTAAACTCAAGCAAATTAATCTGTAGCTGGCTACTAAAACGAGCTATCATGTCTTGCGTAGGTTCGAGCAAACTTGGATACGCCAAAGGTTGATTACACAATAAAGACGGATGCAAATTATGACACTTACAGCAGATTTCTCTGCCGTTAGATAATTTCTCTCTGAATCTGACTTTCGTTAAACTGCGAAACATTTTGCTGACCATTCTGATTATTACCGTTAAATCGCTGCTGATTATTACGTGTTCAAACGGGTACAGCAACAAATGGAAGAAAAGCTTATGACAAAGCAACTGTGTTTCTGTGCTCGCGGCGGTTGTGAGGTAGTTGTACATGCAGCCAGACGGTTTCTCAACTGCTTTTTGAAGAAGTGCAAGTTGTCATTAAGTTTGGTTTTCGCAACGCGTTCAATATTTTATCAGACAGTGTTACCGTAATCCCAGCAGTCTACCAGTGGGACACTCTGTTCCAAGCTGGGGTGCAGCAAGGAGATCTCCTGCGCCTGATACTGCTTTCACTCCTTGGCAGTGGATGCATGATATCTCACATGGCACTGGCTAAGCGCACATTTGCCCTGGACGACGGAACAAAAGCGAACCCGGATGAAGGCTTTCATGCAGAAATCTGAACACACCACGCCTTGCGCGCTAGCCGAAAACCAGCTGTCAAAAAAAGGATTCTAGCCAGCGCAGCTGTGCTGCAGACCGTGAAAAAAGGCAGGCGATAAAAGGTGGCACTGGCACCTGCCACTGGCAACTACCACCGGCAGTGGCAGCTGCCACTACGCGTTCTGGCAAGCGATAAAACGTGGCAAGTACCGGAACCTTGAAATGAAATAGTTATGCCATCCAGCGACAATCTCTATATAAATTATTCAGAAGGAAGTAAGTTGCAGAGAAACCTAAGAATACCATTTAATTACGAAACTTACTTAAGAAACCTAATTAAGAAACCTAACTAAGAACTTAAGAAACCCTACATATATCAACGCTGGTGAGCCACTGATCGATTGGACCTGATTTTTTCGTGCCTTCGTACGGCTGCAAGCGCATAAAAGTATCGCTTCTACTTGTACTGTAGAGTAACCCTGCACTTGACAGCTTTTTTTACAGCTCAGAGAGACGTACGCTGTACGAGCACATTCACCATTCACATGTGCATGCCTGAGACTAGGCAGGCAGCACATGTGAGTGCAGTGCAGTCGGCTCTGAGCTAGCTGAACGTTTGTCAGTACTACAGTGCCGTACAGCTCATATCGTAGGAAAAAGCTGTCAAGTGCAGGGTTACTCTACAGTACTCTTATTATTTGTTTTGAATTACCTGCGCCATTAACTTAATGACTCCCATTAACTCAGGATCTATTGCTGGTGCGTTACCATACTGCGGTGGTACGTTACTATGCTCCGGGACTTCTTCTTCCTCGTAGTACTCGTACTGGTTAGCACCATCGTGCTGGGCGAAGTTATTGTTAACTGGTACAAAAGGTTGATTAACGTAAAAGTCATTTACACGATTGCTCACGTTCGGTTCATTGCTTAGTACACGTGGCGCTGGCCCAACTGACTGCGACTCGTTGTTCTGGTTCGGCGGAGCAACAGGAACAAACTGCCTAGCTGGAGGTGCAATACCCCCGCAAACTTGAGAAGGACCAGAGGGAGCAACACTACCCCCGCAAACTTGAGTACCTCCACTACTTACGTTAAGCGGAATCTGCCCTGAACGCATACCTACTGCGGTACCATTATCTGTGCGCATACTACTGTTCGGCTGATTATCGTAGTACGATGGCATCGCACTCATTACATTTGGTGCCGTCAATGGAACTTCTGATTCGAAAACCTTCTCTGCGCTAGTACTGTGCTCCTGATTTAAAACTGAAGATAACTGCTGCCGAGAAAATACAGCACTACCACTGGACTGACTTAATTTTAACTGCTTTTTCAAATCTTCAATTTCATTATGCAAATCGCGCATTTTTACTTTATAATCGTTAACGCACTTACCCCGCTCCATACATTCACTACGCCATTTCTTACTTTCCTCCAAAGCATTGCTCAAGTCGATTTCTGCCTGGTCACATTGTCTTTTGGCATTCTTCAGTTCCGCATCAAGTTCTTCGTTGGCCAATATTATTTTGACATGATCTGCTATATCGATCTGAAACTCTGCATTCCGTTCCTCCAGCATTGTGAATTTATCCGTTAATGACTTCAACTTTTCACTTACCGTATTATTGTCATTCTGCACAAGCGCTAAGTTCCGCTTTGCAGTTTCCAAATCTGCCTGCATCTTATCCCTGTTATCATTTTCCCTGTCTAACACTTCATTTAACCGCTAAGTTTCATCCCGTGAATTGTCTTGTTGAACACAAAAGGCGATATAGCCTTTTGTACAACGAATCTGTACCACACGACTCTCTCATAACGACTCTCACTTCGTGATCTGACTGAGAGGCTTGAAGCCTTTCGCTAACTTCCTTCACTTCTTCGACAAACTTAAACCGCAATGGTTCGAAATCTTTTTCGTGAACAAACTGCCTTAAATCTGACTGCATTGGGTGCCACGATTCCCTAACCCTACTTGCTTCAGGTAAATCTTCAGGTAAATCTTCAGCTCCAATAAGGAACGATTACCGAAATTAAACGCTGGTTCGTTAACTTCCGTAGTTAAATCTGACGAGGGTGAATCATTACGCCTAGTCACATTATTAAAATCAAGAATATTACCAAAATCAGAGGGTTCATTGCCACAGTTGATTATATTCGTATCATGTGCCCTGCACTACGATCGAACGACTTTTGTGAAAATACCACCGTATCATTACCATCCACGGCGTTATGGCCTGGACCCGCATTTTGCCCTACAAACTGCCTGATTTCCGAATTACCATATCCTTGGAGCAAATTTACTCTCTCACTGTGATTCCCTAACAGTGACTCATCAGATACTGACAACACATCCTGAGGGGCCAAGACTGTTTTTTCCACATCACTAGTCAAATTAACTAAAGGGGAGTTATTATTACTCACAGAATTTTCACCAATTACTGGGACATTATTAGAATGCCCATCTGACGTAACGGCTACATTCCGAGAACGCGTTGATTTATTCGAACTGACTTCTTTTCTAGCCATGACTTCCTCCTGATATGCGTCAATATTCTTGATCGCCCATTCCCTCGCTTTCTTAAAATCTTAATCTGACATGTCAACATATTCTGCTGGTATCGACCTCTCTTTCTCAAACCAAGTTCCATAATAACTGGGAGCTCTGAGCAAAGTCGTATTCTTGTCCTGCCAGTCAACCCATTGTTGACTGCAGTACGTGCTTTTTACATCCTAAGGTTCTAAACCTACTGCCGTGTACATAAGACCCAACGGGATACGAGTCGAAAATTTGTATCGCTCATCCTAATCCCCTTCGTTTGCTTTATACTTCAATCTGCCTGACTCAACTTTTCTGACTGGCCAAAAGCCATCACGTTTTACCACGAAATCAGCTCACTTCGAAATCTTGTTTAATTCAGTGCAACCGCGGCTATACCGTACCACTCAGGTGGATTAAGTAAGCAAAAGTTGTACTGTCCCCACTGGTTGTGTAAACAACCACCTCGTATTACCCTACAGTTACTGGCTGACCTTTAAGGTTTCAGTCAGCTGCCTACACAGCTGACACTACGCAATGAGTGCTGCTAATACACGTATGCGAGACGCAATGCTTGCCGTTTCTGCCTAAATTTGAATCCGAAATCCCAGGAAATATACACTGGCTAATCCGGAATGCGGACGTCACCAACTGTATACTCGTACTAACCTGAACCGCTGAATTCAAAAAGAATAAATCCTTTTGCTGAAATTTAAATTCCAAACGTTCTCAGTATTAGAGAGCACTGCAACTTTTGAGTGGATTTATGCCGATTGCATATCCGGGTATTTACACACACGCAAAATTTTATGAGTTTTTGACTCTCAGCATTAGAGAGTGAAACTTTTGATTAAATGAATGCCAATACACTACGACTATCCAAGCATTATGGATACCCACTTCTGACTCATACAACATGCAGCTGACCTTTAAGGTTTCAACCGCTTCACCTCATTTACCGTAAAGCTATCCCGTTTATATGAGGATACTGTAAATTACACCCTACAATCGAATGTTTCCGGTTCGAGCTGATGACCATTTAGCACGATTGCTGGTCGTATCTTCTCACTGCTGCGCGAAGAAAAAATGTACATAAATTTTGACTTTTTCTCATTAATGCCAAGGTGGTTAGCGTTCAACCACTCGGTGATTCCGGGGAGTGCACTTTCTAGCTTAGCTGCTGCTTCCACTTTAGTATCTGCCGTGACATATCCGATAGTGTCATCAACAAAGCTTTCTAGTTGCACATCACCGAATCGAGTTTTCAAAAAGTCTATTCGAGCCATTGCAAACTACCCGACAACGCCAGTGAATCTCCTGATGGACCGTTTTGGAATAATCCCACTGTTCACGCGATGGCGGCACCAGGAGGCCATATGGTTGTACAAGATCAAACATCCGGTGCCGCACAACGTACCAGCGTACCTTACCGATATGTTTAACCTTGGAGAGAAAAGCAAGATGTACAGTTTGCGTAACGCCAATCAACTGACTATCAGGACACGTGTGGCAACGAAATGCGGGGAAACAATGCAATCCTGGAGACTGGGCAAGCTTTTGGATAAAGTTAACCAAAGCGGCAGTAATATTCTTGAGCTACGTACACTTGGCTGTTTTAAAAGCGCTTTGTTCACGACTAAATTCTTTAACTAACTCGGAGTATGTCGGCTGTTTAGGTGTCTTTTAGGTGTCTCACTTTTCATTCATGTTAAATTGTGTTCTCCGTTTTCTCCAGCCAGGTTTAAAATCCCATGCTAGATGTCATTCTAGCCAGATATGGGCTACCTGCACTGACTCGAATTAAATTAAATTAAGTAGCTCACCTTTGAGGTTTCAACTACCTACCGATTACCACTGTACACTGTAGCCGAATAATAGCTAACAATGACACAGCGTTTTCACGATAAAGCCGCTAAATCCGGTCTGTTGTTTACAAAAGTTCAAAATTTTCACAGACAAAGAAACGTAGAACATTGGCCGCTACGTTGACTCTGGCGCGCCTTTGTCTCGAATGTTAAAAATTTTCTTACACAAAAGAATTTAGACAAAGAACGGCTATAAATTCTGCGAATTTTCCCGCGCATTCTCACTCACCGATTCCACTCCGCTATTCCTTGCTGCCGCTGCCGTTCACTTTTTGTCGTCTTTCTGGCTTGCCCGTAAGAAAAAAAATCTGACCGCTTATGGTCTTACGGTGCTTTCACTTTTTGACATTCAAGATGTCGCATAAACGTGCAGTTTTCAAGTGCCAATACTGTACAGCCCGTATTGTCACCCAAAATGTATCGCTGAAAATGCGATTCAAACTAACATCAATTAAGTCGGGGGACTCGGCACCCTAGGTCCGAACTGGAACGCGGACCTCCTGCACCACACTAGTGCCTCCTAACGGACTTAATAAATGTGGGCTCTCTCGAGTTGACCACCAACCATCCTGCACCATCAAATTAAAATAATTACCATCCCTTAATTTTCCGCAACATCGGGGAAAGTCGAACCGTAGGTGGGTGCAATGTCGTGTAATTCAAAGTTAAATTGTTGTCAAACTTGTTGAACCACTTCCCAGACCACGACACATTCGGGAATAAAGCGACTCTTATCTCAAAATTTTGGGAAGAATTAGTATCATATTATTATTATTACGTGCTGTGTCTAGTAATGCATTACCCGATACAGCATTACATTGCAAACCTAGCTGGTGCAAGCAACTGACTTGTCGTCGTCGCTATTAGAATTGTCATCTGCACTGAACTGGTATGGTTCTTTACCTTTACCGTGGTGATTTACCACCTGGTTCCGTATGCCTGGTTGTTAAAAAACCATTTAGTTCCACTCAGGACAAAACGACAGGATACGAAATTACATTTCGGTTGAAACGACCGGCTTCGAGTTAAAGGTCGCAAAACGATCTGGCACTCATGCATTAACTGTCAGGCAGAAACGTAAACGTCTGGCTACTGATTTGCAGTCATTTAGAAACGTCCGACTACGAATATACAGCCAGGCTGAAACGTCCGGCTGCGAATTTACAGTCAGGCAAAATTTTCCGGATACGAATTAACGCTTATTGGTCTTGTCCCTGACCAAAAAAGCAAAAAAAGTAGGTCGGTGGCGGCGGACGTTCTGGCGGCCGCCAAACGTTTAGATGGTTAAGGCGCCAAAACATCCGCCGGACATCTGAGACGTCCGGACATTTTGGATGGATACAGCAGTCGCACCGTCACCGTGCAGTAGCCCAACACTGGTTACCACACCCCGACCATCACCTGGACTGACGCAGCAAAAGGCGAAGTCACCGATGACATAACCTGTAGAGAAGCTTACCCAGCACCTCAGATGTTGCAACTATAACCGACCATTACAATCTCCGACAAAGACTAAGAGCTGCCGAACCAGATCACACGTAGCAGGAGAATGGACGTTGCCGCCAATCATCATCACTATATAATAATCGCGTAAGCATTAACGAAATCCCCACTCTGTCGAGTTCGTCAGCTCTATCTATCAAATGAAACTTCTATGTCTACGTATCATTCGATAGCCCTTCGTGGGTAGATTTGCCATCGCAAATCAATTTTTAGAGAAAAACAAACGTTTAAAAGAAAACTTCAAAAAACTTTAACATAGAAAGCCAATGGGAACAGTTGAGAATCCACCCCTTCAAAGCTGACCACCCCACCACTGTCTCGACAGCTAAACGCATTTTGAGCTTTGCTGGGAGCCTGAGACTGAAGACGGAATACTACGTGTGATGATAGATGATCATTCTGGCGCCCGGCGCACCACCCCTTGGGTGCGCACAGGGCGCTGTTGTCCATCTGCTTAATATAGGGGGGCGATACTGCCCTAGCCACTAGGCCTCAGCTCGCCAGTCGGCCCTTGCCCAAAGTCCGTATCACTTTGCATACAAAATTTATGCATGCTGTATACCATAGCAACATACTGCGCACGTGCACTGCTGATACATTTTGTCAGTTGTAAGGTTCTCGAAACAGTCAGGGCTCGCTATTTGCCTTGCAAATTCCCAATTATATGTTGTCAATTTTAAGTTATTCTACTAGTCTGATACTCTGAAGTTTTTTTAATTATGTACGTATTGCGGGACGTCTTTTGAAAAGAATCTTATGTGGGATAGTCCGATGACTGATACTGTTGACTGGGTAATACACAGGTAAATACGTTTTGAAGAAGAACGAAAATCTTTTGCAGATGTTCTTAAGACCAGACAACAGTGCTGGTCTGCGAGCTCTTCCCTATCTGCTTAAGCTTCACATTCTTCGCCGCATTTAAATCTTACCGTGCCCATTATTCTCTACGTTGTTCCGTATCACAAAGCCTATGTTAGTGCAGTAGAACAATGCATTTTGATCAAAATCGCACACGTTGTTTATAAACATATAATATTTAAAGTAGTTTACAGTGAGTATACCTACTATTTTCCACTTCCTACGGACGACGGCGTACTGCTCCAACTTCTTACTGCGTACATACAAACTTTTGAGTTGCTCTCTTGAATCGCCACTACCGAAACATCTAACAATGCACTATTAATATTTCCGACGGTTTTCGTTTTTAGGTTAGCCTCAACGGAAATGTTTCTCTGAGACTTGTTTGTCGGTAACTGCCCCGTAATCCAGAAAACCCGGACACTGATGTCCCGCTGTTTATTTTAAAATATTTTAAAGTTATAAAAACTAGACGATGACAGCAGGCCCTCGGGCGCGCGGCAGTTGCGCCAGCTGCGCTGCACTTGTGGCATATCATCAAAATCTATTCACGTTGGTAGAGTAGATCCGACAAATTTCCGATAATATTACAACTAAAATAAACTTTTTCGAATGAATAAAGTTAATAATAATAAAACAGAACAGACCATTTGTCTGCAGCATCTGTACACGCACACAAATTACCGACGGGCATGCGGCGAGTGCGCTCCCTGCATTGCACATTGGGAAACATTTAAAACGCGCATGTTTAAGCAGTGGTAAAAAGTGAGAACATAATAAAAATTATTTAGTTGCTGGATATTGTCTGTTGTGTGATATCGCATGATAAATAATAATTTTGTTTTTACAGATTTTGCAGTGCTACCTATTTTAATAGGCACCTGTCTTGAGTATTGGTCTGCGCTAAAATACCCGGTATATATTAGTAAATTCTACTAAGTAGAACTGGCCAGTTATTTAGTATGCGAAACCCATTTATTTAGTTAAGCAAATAATTTATATGTTTTAAATCTTTGGTTTAAAAAGTTTCTATCAAGTCGCATCATACAACAGATATATTTTTGAGCGGTTTTGCATAAATGAAGGGTGTATAAGAATCATAAATAATGTATTTTCAATGCTAGTTTATTTCCTCTACAAGGACAAGTAGTCACTGTTGAATTACACACTCTAACTGCATCCAAAAATGTCCCAACCTCGTCATCGCACTGTCACCGAATTTCACAGGCGCTATCGGTTATTGCGCGATGAATTTAATGACCACGAGTGCACCGGCGATCCCAAGATCGCCAGGATTCATGTAGCTGGGGACTCAAATACTTGCAGCACAATGTGCGGAGACCGCCCAAACTATAAAGGTGATCCGCGCACGAAAGGGTGGCAGGCGGAAGAAGTGAATGCGTTGACGCTCCTGAACGTCAGCATGGGGTGGGAGTTTTTTGTTACTTCCATTACCGGCGCCTGGGCGGTATGTCTCCGGGAATTTTTCATACAGGCAGAGCCGCACATGTTTACCACAGCAGAAGAGAAGAAAGATATTCTCGTTGTTTCATGTGGCACAAACGATTTCATGCGGTTGATCAAGTATTTGAAACGTTTTGTCAAACCGAAGAAGATCACGGAGTTCGCTAAGAAGTGAGAGGGTGTTCAGGATCAGTGGCTGAAAGATATGGGGGATCAGGTCGTGCAGGGACGAACCAGATATCGCGAACTCGTCGTCATGGGCATGTTCAGTGTAGTAGATAGCGAACGCAACCAAATTGAAAGCCATTTGATCAACCCACTGGTAATGCGTTCCAACCACGAGCTTGAAGCGTTATGTGCAGACTGGAATGTTAAATTTGTGTCCACCGACTCGCTAAAATCTTTCCACAATGACGGCATCCATCTGACGCAGGAGGGTGGAAGAGAATTTGCCAAATTGATTCGTCGGGCGGTTGAGCGTCTGCAGGACAAATGTGAGTGCATTAGGGTAGTGTGCGAGGGTTGTCTATAGTTACAGGCAGGCTCAGGCAGGTAGAGAGTATACTAAATCATTCACTATCTCTCCCCTACAGTGACCGGAAGCAAGCAGAACGAGCTCCGCAAGAAACGCAAAAACAAGCGGAACGCAAAAAGCATGAAGGGCAGCCAGACTAGTAGCTAGTCCATCAATTGATCCAGGGCGGTAGTGAATGCTGTTATTAATTTTGTGTTGTGATGTCTTAGCGGGTACCTACGTTGCCCCGAGCGCCCAAAACCCGCCGGGTTCCCGTGTGGGGAAGAAGAACAAGTCGCAGAAGGAGCGGAAACGCGCCAAGGCCCGGCTGGCCAAGAGTAAGTATCCTCTTGGCTCGTATTACTCATTAATGGTACCGAACTTATCATGAGAATAATTATCGCATAAAATGAGTATTTTCTTGGGAACTTGCAGGTGCAGCCAGTGGTGGTGGAGGTGCTGCAGTAGGAGCGGCCACGGCGGCGTCGGGACCAAACGCTGAACCCTTGGGAGTGTATTCCGCCCCTGCGCTGTAATGGCTGTATCGAAGTAACAGAGCCTCGAAATATGAAGCAGGATTGCGCATAC